TGTTTACTTGGAAATGTCCTAGTTTTGCTATCATATTTGAGTGAGAGTTTTGCAGGATATATCTTTATTGGTTAGCAGTGTTTTTCTTTCAAGGTTTTATATATGTCTTCCCATTGTCTTCTTGCCTGCATGGTTTCTGCCAAGTAATGAGAGCTCAGTCTTATTGTTTCCCCTTTGTATGTGACTTTTCATTTTTCTTGAGTGGCTGTCAGGATTCTTTCTTTGCCTTTGGTTTCGGCATGTGTGATTATGATATGTCTTGGTGAGTTTCTTTTGGGGTCCACACTATATGGGGTTCGGTGAGCTTCTTGGCTGGGCAGCTTTTCATCTTTCATGATATTAGTTAAGTTTTCTGTCAGCAAATCTTCAGTGATCCTCTCGGTATTTTCCATTTTCTCCCGTTGTTCTGGAATTCTGATCACATACAAATTTTTGCTCTTGACTGCATCCCACATTGTTCTAAGCTTTTCTTCATTTTTCCTCACTCTTTTCTCTGATTTTTCCTCAGACAAAGTGGTATCCAAGGATTTTTTTTCAATTTCACTGATTCTGTCTTCCATTGTTTCAAATTTGCTCCTAAAATCTTCTATTGCACTATTTCTGAAATCTTGTTGTTTATCTTTTGGATTTCTAATTGCTGTTTTTGTATGATTTCTAGTTATTTACTTTGACATTTTGTTCCTGTATTATTTTCCTGAATTCTTCCATTGCTTTGTCTATGTTTTCCATGATTTTATCTGTATTTTCCATGATTTTGTCTATTTTTTCCTTATTTTTGTCTGCATTTTCCTTCAGCGCTTTCCTAATCTCTTGGTGGGCCCTGAAATACTGGACTTTTGAATTCCCTATCAGGTAGTTCCAATGCCTTTTCTTCTACAGGAAAGTCATCTGGTGTTTTATTTTGGTCACTTACTGTAGCCATTCTGTCCTGTATTTTTGTGTTTTGATATTGTCTGCTGTGTCCGGGACATTTAAGAATTATTTTCTTCATTTATTGATTGTATATTTGTTTCATCCTGCTGTTTTGTTTTATTTGGTTATGTCATGCAGGCAAGGTATATTTTGTTGTTTGCTCCTCTGTGGGCATGATACTTCTCACCACCTTGTCCAGGTGGGCAGGGTGGGTTACTCAGCTACGGTGCAGCAGGGCGGGTCCAGTGGGGGGGGGGGAAGGGGCAGGAATTGGTCATTTGTAGTATGAATTGGAGCTGGCAGGGGGCAGTGCAGGGCAGAATCTGTGGATCCGGGGTCCAGGAGTCTGTGCTGGTGCCACTCAGGGGCATGCGCTCAGCGCGCAGTACAGACAGGCAGGAGGGAAGGGAGAGGATGTGATGTGGAGAGCTAAGCCAGTGAGAGAAAGAAATAGAAGTAGAAAAAAGCAAAAAAAAAAAGAAAGTGAAATAAAGACATTCCGTGATAAACAAAGACTGAGAGAATTTGTTCCTAGTATATCTACCTTATAAGAAATACTAACGGAAGTTCTTTAGACTGACAAGAAGTAACATCAAATGGTAATTTGACTCCACATCCAGACACGAAAAGCACTAGTAAACAGAATTAAATAGGTCATCACAAAAAAGAGTATAAATATATATTTTTTCTTTTTTTTCTCCTAACTTATCGAAAACACAACTGCATAAAACAATAATTATAAAATTGTATTGTTAAGACTGGAGAAACCCTCAGAGTATGGCCCCCAGACACCCTTTTAGCTCAGGGGTGAAGTCATTTCCGAGGTTCACCGTTCAGCCAGGGAGTGGACAGCCCCGTAAAACCAAATGGGACTAATGAGGCACAGCAGTCCAGGGACAAGGGCCAGAAGGCAGAAGGGGACAGGAAGCTGGTGATAGGGAACCCAAGGTTGAGTAAGGATAGTGTTGATGTGTTGTGAGGTTGTTAACCATTGTCATAGGGCAACATGTGTACTAACTGTTAAAAGAGAAACTATTAAAAAAAATACTTTATTGCTAAAAAATGCTAATAAAAAAATTCTATTGTTGAGCTGATAACATATAAAGATGCAATATATGTGACAATAATAATGCAAAGGCGAGGGAGAAGATAGAGTTATACTTGGGGCAAGGAAATGACACCAGGTGGTACCTGAATTCACAGAAAAAAATTAAGAGTACCAAAAATGATAAATACATAGATTAATATAAAAAAAACTTTATAAAATTTTTGTCTCTTAACATCTTTAAAAGACAAAAGATTCTATAAAGCAATCTGATACTATATTGTTTTGATTACAACATACAGAGATATATATGACAACAGGACAAAAGAGGGAGGAAGGGATGGACCTATACTGGAGTAGATTTTCTATATTTTAATGTATTTACTGTGATAAAGATGCATATTGGAATCCTTAGAAAAGCCACCTAAAATTATATCAAAGATAAAATTAAAAATGAACAAAGGAATTAAAATAGTACACTAGAAAATATTTAATATAAAATAAGGTGGTAAAGGAGAAAAAAGAATAAAAAAGACACGAGATATATAGAAAATAAATAGCAAATGGCAGATGTAAATTCTACCATGTCATTAATAACATTAAATGTGAGTGAGTTAAATACTGCAAAAGAAAAAAACAGTCACTGTCAGTCTGGATTAAAAAATAAGATCCTACTATATGCTGTCTACAATAAACATACTTTAGACTCAAAAACATAAGTAAGTTGAAAGTAAAATGATATAAAAAGATGTATACCATGCAACTAGTAACCATAAAAGAGCTAGCGTGACAATACTAAAATCAGACAAAATAGACTTTAAGACAAAACATGTTATTAGTGATAAAGAGGAACATTTCATAATGACAAAATACTTCATTTCTCAGGAAGATATAACAGTTATAATCATATATGCACCTAACAACAGAGGCTTAAAATACACGAAGCAAAAACTGATAGACTCGAAGAAACAGATAGGCCATTTAACAATAAGAGTTAAAGACTTCGATAAACCAACACAAACAAAATCCATTTCCACTGAGTTGAATTCCGACTCACAGTAACCCTGTAAGACACAGTAGAACTGCCCCATAGGGTTTCAAAGGCTATAAATCTTTATGGAAGCAGACTGTCACATCTTTCTTCCCTGGATCGGCTGGTGAGTTTGAACTGCCAATCTTTTGGTTAGCAGTCGAGCACTTAACTGCTTGTGCCACCACAGCTCCTTAAATAATGCTTAGAGAAAATTTAATAATCTGTATCAGAAAAGAAGGATTGAAAATCAATAATCTAAGCTCCCACATTAAGAAACTAGAAAAAGAAGAGCAAACAAAACCAAAAGCAAACAGAACAAAGGGAATAAAGGTTACCACAGAAATCAACAAAATAGAAAACAATTATAAAGAAAATCAATGAAATCAAAAGTTGGTTCTTTGAAAAGAACAACAAAATTGACAAATCATTAACTAGGCATATCACAAATTACCAAAGCTGACTCAAGAAGAAATAGAAAATCTGAGTAGAACTATAACAAATAAATAAATTGAAATAGTAATTTTAAAACTTCTCACAAAGAAAAGCCCAGGCCCAGATGGTGTCACTAGTTGGAATTCTACCCAACATTAAAAAGTATAAATAACATCAATCCTTCACAAACTCTTTCAGAAAACAGGAAGAGTTTCCTCCTCCTAATTCTTTTGGTTATGCTAGTATTATCCTGATATCAAAGCCAGACAAAGATATTATAAGAAAACTACAGACCAATATCCTTCATGAATACAGACATAAGAATCTTGAACAAAACATTATCAAACCAAATCCAACAACATATACAAAAAGAGATATACCATAACCAAGTGGGATTTACCCCAGGAATGCTTAGAATACAAAAATCAATTAATGTAACAAGCACATTAATTAAAGGGTAAAAACCTCATTACCATCTCAATAGATACAGAAAAAGAATTTGAAAAAATCCAATATCCATTCCTGATTTTAAAAAAACCTTTCAGCAATCTGGGAATAGAAGGGAATGCTACAACCCAGTAAAGGGCATCTTCGAATAACCTATGGCTAACATCATACTTAATGCTGAAAGTCTAATACTTTTCCCTTAAGATGAGGAAGAAGGCAAGAATGCTTGCTCTACTTCTACACAACACTTCTACTCAACATTGTTCTGGAGGTTCTAGCTATTGCAATCGGACAAGAAAAAGAAATAAAGGCTATCCATATTGGCAAGAAAGATGTGAAAATATTTCTATTTCTAGATGACATGATCTGTAGTTAGGAAATCCCAACGAACCTACCAAAAAAGAAAACAAACTACTAGAATTAATAAACATTTTTAGCAATGTCACAGGATTAAAAAAAATCAATATACATATAATAAAATCAGTTATATTTTTATATGCTAGCAATGAGCACTTCTAAAATGAAATTAAGAACACAATCCCATTCACAATAGTATCAAAAAGAACAAAAATACTTTGGAATAGATTTAATAAAAGAAATTCGAGATTTGTACACTGAAAGCTACAAAACATTGCTATAAGATATTAAAGAGTTAAATAAATGGAGAGACATCTATATTTAGTAATATATATTATTAGATGTGAAATTATGTGAAAATACAATTTCTGGAATTATAATATATGAAAATAATTTGGAAATTCTCTATGACTAAATATTATCTATTTAAACATACTATATATATAGAACATTTTAAGGTACTTTATTCTTTAAAGTATTCTTCCTACATTTTGTTTAGAATCATGGCATCATTTTAGTTGTTTTTCAGAAAAATGTTATGTTAAACTATTCTTAATTAAAATTTACCATGTTCAAAACCATCTGACTTGGTAGATTCACTTGAGAAATGTTCAATGAAAAGTTAACCTTAAATAAATTTAAAATATGCATAATGAAAAATACATGAGAGTAAACAGAACAGGTTAATTGGGTCAATAGTTTAAAAAAATCTATTGTAATTTATAAAGAGGCATATTAGAATTTTAAAATACTGCCTAAATCATGTATACTTACCACAGATGACAATATCCATTTGCGGGTGCTTTAGTAATAGCTCTTTCACCTAAGGTTTTTCCTGAAAAATAAATGTGCTTATACTTAGTACCTTTATGTCAGTTGGTAGGGGGTGAATTTTTGTATTAAGTTGGTAGTTCTCAAAGTATGGTCCCAGGACCTGAAGCAAAAGCGTCACCTAGATACTGGCTAGAAGAGCAAATTTTCAGCCACTTGGGAGACCTACTTGATCAGAAATTCTGAAAGTGGGGCCTAGCAATCCATGTTTTAGTGAGCCTCTATGATTCTGCTGCATGCTCAAGTTTGAGACCCCCTGAACTAAGTAATCTAGCCAAGTGCAAGGCAAGTCATTTAACCATTATTTAAAACCATAATAGAGATTTTGTAATCAATTCAACCAACATTACTGAGGGCCTACTGATTGTCATATTGTGTGAGCTTCTAGGAATACAAAATCAAATTGAGACATAATCCTTGACCTCCAAGAGCTCACAGTCCAATAGGCAGCAGGTACATAAACAAACAAATTACATGCAAAAAATAAGCAAGGTAAAAAGAGAGCACAGCAGAGCACCTCTACCTGAAGGGGTAAGGGAAGGATTCCCAGAGAAGCTCTCTCCTCATTAATCATGATGATGAACAGGCTCAGTGACATAAACGATTGCCCCAAATCATTTTATTTAGTTTTAGAATAACTTTCAGTAATGTAATAACTACTTTAGACAGAAGTTTGTCTAATGGCTAGAAAAATCAAAATGCTTGCAACAAAACAGAACTGCATTCTGAAAATTTCTCCAAAGTGGTCATTTTGTCTTACTCTTTCGTTCTTTTTTTCCCTGCTCCAATTTTTTTACCTTGACTAAAATATCCAATGACCTGCAAAATGCTCTTCTAAATAAGTGGTTGAGATCATCTTTATAAATAAGGATGTTTTAGTTCTAAAAGTATTCTCCTGTTAATTTGTTAAGGTGACACTATATAGCTCCACTCATTAAGAGAACTCCCCGTGTGGAAATCTACATAAACTGGGAAAAAATTAAAAAGTGAAGCATTTTAATAATAACTGATACTCCACTGTGGAAATATTAAAGGAGTTAGTAATTTTTAAATGAACGATAAACATAAATACTCTTTAATGTACAAACATTAAAAACTAAACCAATATTTTGGCTGTATTGCCTAATGAACAACAGCTTTTATCTCACTACCCCAAGGCTAAAAAGAGGAAATTCTATCACTGTAGATATAAATAATAAAAAAAATAAATATAAAAGGAAGCTAGGAAGAATAAAGACTGATATACCCACTTATACAACTGTAGCCTGAAATGAAAGCTACTTCTCTTACAGAATCGTATTTTGTAACTTATTTGAGGCATTCATATGAGTCATTTAACTATGAAAATTATAATGTTCTTTTTAAAATATAAGATTCAGGGGCAGAGCCAAGATGGCGGTGTAGTTAGATGCTTCCTATACCCCTCTTACAACAAAGACCTGGAAAAACAAGTGATTTGATTATATATGAATATTTAGGAGCCCTGAACAAGGCAAAGTTGAGGAATCGGACTGAGTGGCGGGGGGAGAGGGAGGTGGTTCAGAAGAAGCCAGCAGCACCAGAGTGGCCGTGGGACGGCAACTCTTTAGCCATGCTGGCAACTCCTCAGCCACACCGGGTCTGCAATGAAGCAAGCAAACAGCTGTGCACGCGCTCAGAAAGGAGTTTCCACATTGAGAGAGATCCAGTAGCAGAGATTCTGCTTGGACACTCCGAACCAGCGAAAAGCAGCTCCCAAGTGGCTAAAGATAAATACATGCATGCAGCCTTTTGCAGGGATTTAAAAAAAAAAAAATCCCATTTGGGAAAAACCTCTCTCCCTTTTACCTCATCCCTCTGTGCTCTACACTGGGAGTCCGCTGGGCTGGAAGTAGATCCCAAAAGGCACCCTGACCCATTCTCCTGACCTTGGAGAGGGAACAAATAAGCTACTGGCTCCCCTAAGCCAGGAACACAGGGTCGGCACAGCTGCTTTGCTAGGCACAGGCATAAGGGGTCTGCAGACTCTGAGTGCCTTACACCCCTGTATAGACTTGTATAGACCCATCTCAACAGCATTAGCCCTCACTACCACAGTACAAAAGGGCAAACATCTGAAGTTTAACTTCAACTGTTTGAGCTGTGAAGTGGCAAATTTGTGACCCTCAAAACAGCGCTGCCCTTAAGTAGGCACTTTTATTGATCCGCAACAGGGGCTTGAGGACTGGTGGCGTCACGTAAACCTCAAAGTCACCTGCTTCAGGAGTCCAAGAAAAAGTGGTGCCCTTGAGTATTTACAGCCAACAGAGTGGGGTGCTCATAGTCTCGCTGCAAAACTCACCTACCTACTCACCCTAGAGAATAGGGACACGCTTTCCTTTCAGACTCTCGAGGCAGCCGTCAGCTCCCTGCCTGGCTCAGTGCATGATCCCCCACCACAGCCAGACTCCAGTGCCTGCACCAGTCACCCATGCCTCTCTAGGACTGTACGTGACAGCCTGCACCACACACTTGGTGACTGACTGCCTGGTCACCTGAGCTGAACCCATACAGGAAAATTTAACGGGCTCCTGTGGGCACATACTTAGTTACGGAACTACCTGGTGACAGGACGTTAGTACTTCAAAGGTGTCAATAATCAAACGAGTGCACACGAGCAGCCTATTGGGGCATATAAAAATAAAACAAAACAAGAAGCTAGGACTCACTAAACAAATATAAAATAAAATTATAATAACGTATTGATGGCTCGGAAACACCAGTCAATATCAAATCACATAAAGAGGCAGTCCATGATGGCTTCAGCAAGCTCCCAAAATAAAGAATCAATAAATTCTCTGGAGAAAGAGAATTTTATGGAATTACCAAAGGCAGAATACAAAATATTAATATACAGAACTCTCCTAGAAATTAGAAAGGGAATTCTACAAAATACAGAAACTGCCAAAGAACATACAGACAAAGTAGTAGCGGAACTTAAAAAAGTTATTCAAGAACATAATGACAAATTTAATAGGAGGCAAGAATCCATAGAGAGACAGCAATCAGAAATCCAGATTAACAATAAAATTTCAGAATTAGACAACTCAATAGAAAGTCACAGGAGCAGAATTGAGGCAGTAGAAGTTACAATTAGTGACACTGAAGATAAAACACTTGACACCAACTTATTTGAGGAAAAATCAGATAAAATTAAAAAGAATGAAGAAACTCTAAGAGTCATCTGGGATTCTATCAAGAGAAATAACCTACGAGTGACTGGAGTACCAGAACAGGGGGGGATAACAGAAAATAGAGAGAAAATTGTTGAAGATTTGTTGACAGAAAACTTCCCTGATATCAAGAAAGATGAGAAGATATCTATCCAAGATGCTCAGCGAACCCCACATAAGGTAGATCCCAAAAGAAAGTCACAAAGACATAATCAAACTTACCAAAACCAAAGATAAAGAGAGAAATTTTAGAGCGGCTAGGGATAAAAGAAAAGTCATCTACAAAGGAGAGTCAATTAGAATAAACTTGGACTACTCAGCAGAAACCATGCAGGCTAGAAGACAATGAGATGACATATATAAAGCCTTGAAGGAAAATAACTGCCAGCCAAGAATTACATATCCAGCAAAACTGTCTCTCAAATATGATGGTGAAATTAGGGCACTTCCAGATAAACAGAAGTTCAGGCAATTTGCAAAAACCAAACCAAAATTTCAAGAAATACTAAAGGGAGTTCTACAGTTAGATAATCAATAACATCAGATAACAACGCAAGACCAGAACACAGGACAGAGTAACCAGATATTGACTCAGATACGGAAATCGAAAATACATCAAAGCTAAAACATTGAAATTAGGGAAACAGATATCAATATGTAAAAAAGGACAACATTAAAACAAAAAAGAGGGACTTAAAAAATGGAGACATTCAATGTCACTTAAATATGCATGTAAAAAA